AATACTTATTAAATATTCTTTTTTTCAAAAAAAAAGCTAAAAAGATTAAAAAAGAATTGGTATAAGTGGAGAGAAATGCTAGGGGCACTCGAGAAGCAGCAGCCCCATAGCACTCAAGATTTTATGGAGCCACGTTGGTCCTTTTTGCCACTTAAAACCAACTACTTATTTAGATGGCCTCATCTTTTCAGAAGCCAAATTCTATTTTTCTATTGACTAATATTAGGTAACTTGTAAGAGCAAGTATTCGGTTTTGAGTGATAAAAATTGATTGACATGGTTTCGTAAAATTTTGAGTATTGAAACGTGATTGTTGAGTCAATTGCCCAAGCATTCCTCGTAAGTGGATCTCATATATAAAAATAAAATTTTTAAAATATATATTTTTTATAATTTTTAAAAAATAATTATTAAATATTTGAAAAAATTTTAAAACAAAAAAAAAATGCAAAAAAAATAAAATGACTGCAAACATGAAGAATAAAAACTGCATACCGTACGTTACTAAGTTTAATTGTATGAATTGACAAATCTTTATAAATATATAAAAACTAAAACTTTTGATAAAATAAGAAATAATCTTAAGTGGATAATTTTTATTTTTATATGTGATGGGTTTAAAAAGTTGTCATGTTCCTTTTAATTAATTTATATTTCAAAAGTAAAATTTCAAATTTATAATTAAAACTAAATAATCTGCAAATATTTCTTTTTTTTCAATGCTAAAATACACTAAATATCTATATCTAAGTATTCATTAATTTGTCTCCTATCACACTATTATAAATAGATAGTTCAAAAGTTTATTTTTAATACAAAATTATAGGTTCTACATGTTTTTGTTTATCATTATGTCTTTTTCTTTTTATTTTTGTTGTGCAAAGTTTTATTACCAGTGGTAAAAAAAAAAAAACTATAAGTGTATAGCGTTTATATTATTATATTTTTTGTTAAAATACATGAGATTTTTTTTTAAAACTTTTTTCTTTCATTTTAATATACATCTTTGCAAACTATTTTATATAGCACCAAATGGTGTTTAAAGCAGTGATGTAACAGATGGTGCTGTATTTATGATCCTATGTCTTAATAATTTAGTATAATTTTTTACATTGAGTAAAATAGTATAACAATTGAAAAAATATTTTTTCGACAAAAATATACTTTGCAACATGAGGATAGTCTAAATTAAGGTAATCTATTTACTAATTAATACAAAAAAAAATTAATTTTCTACTAGAATAGCAAATTAATTGTAAATAATTTATTGTCCTTATTACAATATTTTCAAAACCTTCTTTTACTTTTCACAAATAAATTTAATGCCATTATATTTTAAAAAATACCATTATAATTTCCTTAAATAATTCACGCTTAATTCGTTGTCAACTTTTCAATTTTAAATTTGAATTTAGTGTAATTAAAGTCGACCAATTCAAAATTTTAACTTGAATTTTTTATGAAATGAAATAATATAAAATTATTGGCTTTCATAGCTTAAATTTTACACGTGAATAATCTTGAATAATTGTCATGTGTTCATTATTAAATATTTTTTATTTTATTTTATTTAATTTTGACCAAATTAATTACATTGATATAAGATAGTTTAAATTTCTTTCTCAATTAATTTTAATACTTAATTGATTTTATTCTAACCAACTTAATTACATTTACTTTTAAAAAAATAATAATAATTAATGTATAATTAATCGGTATTATATTTTTAAGTTTTAATGTAAGAATTAACTTCCTATTTAATTAACTGATATAGCCATATTTGATTCAAAGAAAATTAATGTATTTTCAAATTAAGCCAAAATATTTGCTTAATTTTTTCCATGATTAAGTTTAGGGAATATATCATATAGAGTTAATATTTTAATCACCATTTGGACTTTGTTAAGCAAATATTCACTTTCAACATTTTTTGCAAACTAACTTTTACAATCTATAAATAATCTTTGCTTAAAATTTTCAAAATATTTTCAAAACAAAAATCATGTTACCTAAATAATTAATAACTTATTGTGATTGCTTTGCATAAATTCCTCTTAAAAACTTATAAGAATCTCCCAAATTCATATTATAAATTGAGAACCATGAACAAGCTAAGATTGTTTGAAGGTCATTTTTCAAAAATCTCAAAATGTATCGTTTTAGTTGTGATAAAGTAAACTTTTGATCACACAATTCTATTAATGTATCTTGAGGAGGGTTTAGTATAAATATTATAAATTTAATTTTAATCTAAATATATAAAAAAAATGTGTAACACTTATATTAGTGTAAATAGATCCCTCCTCATTTATCTTAAGTTTTTAAATCTAATTTCATTTTCTTCTATTGTCTTAATTACCTTAACCTTACCTTAAATTTTTTGATAAAATTCAAATATTGTGATTATGATAATAAAGGTTAACTCTCAAATCTAAAATTTAATGAGAAATTTATTTACATGGATTCTTTTATTATTAATAAAGAAAAAAAATGTTATGGAATTTAACAATTTATATTTTTTTATATTGTCCATCTAAATACCGGATAAGATATTATTATTGTGAAATCATGCTTCAGCATATTTTTTGTTCAAAATATACCCACTATTTATTGATTTATTATTTTTAAAATGATTATTAAATACAATAAAGTCAATAAAAATTAATTTCAAAAGGTAATAATTGATTAAATAATGTAATTATATGCACCTCGTATGAAATTAAAAATATATAAAATAAAAAAATCTGCATAATATTTCTCCATAATTTAGAATAAGAAGTATATGATTATATGTTTTTGATTTAGTTATTAAGTTTATTGCGTTAAATTCATAATTCAAGTCTTTGGAAAATAGGCATAAAATTTTCTTAATAGCATGACTTTAGACAATTGCAATATTCATTGACCACCTAAAATATAGAAATAATTTTGAAAGACCATAAGTCATAACTATTAAAGATCATTGATCATATAGCATGCAAGAGATTCTTAACTACTTATTTTTTTCATAAGGGATCAATTTATGCAGTGTGAATTTTTTTTTTTAATTTTATATAATTTTTAACATTTGATTTTAATAGATCTAAAAGATAAGAGAAACAAACAAATATAGTAATAAATTATTTAATTTTATCCATCAGATCTATTGAAATTAATTGTTAAAAATATATATATAAAATTAAAAAAAATTTGCACTATGTAAGTTGATCACTCATCTTCTTTCGAATAACAATAATTTCGTGGTTTCCATAATTTCATAATTAATTTTCTATATTTAAATTTTTAAGTTTAAAAAATATATGAAATATGCATTAACAAAATCAGAAATAAAATACTTAAAAAATTAAGAATGTTGAAATATTGCCCATAAAAAAAGTAAGAAAAAAGTTTATATAATAGATTGATTTTAAGTGAAGTAAAATTCAACTGTATGGAATCAAACACTATTCGATTTTGTTTAAATATCACTATATGAAATAAGATTAAAAAAACCATCTTTCTTTAAATTTTATTATTATATTTAAATTTTATTATTGTATAATTATATATTAATCTGCAATATTTTTTTTCTTACTTATTTTATATTAAAAAATTTTATATTTTTATATAAAATTTATTAATTATATTATAATTAAATTTTTATATGTATAATTGTATATTCATGCATCGCATGGTATTGAAACAAATTTTCATATTAAGTGTTTTATTTTAACTATATAAAAGGCAAGCATTTTATTTGATTAAGGTGGGTCACACATGAAAGCATATTAATTACAGTGATTGTAATATAATTAATCAATAATAATTTAAAATTATGTGAAGACGATTACAATTTTATATGAAACTTATACTTAAAAATGATAAACTCTTATGTAATTTTTGTTGTGATTAGATAATTGTAATATTGTAGAAAAAATAATTGTAGCTGAAATGCTCCTATCATACACTTTTACATTTTCAATAACTTTATTATTATATTTAAAATTTATTATTATATAGTTATATATTTATCTACAATATTTATTTCTTCTTTCTTGTTTATATTAAAATTTTTTATATTTTTATATAAAATTTATTAATTATATTATAGTTAAATTTTTATATGTATAATTGTATATTCATCCATCGCACGGTATTAAAACAAATTTCCATATTAAGTGTTTTATTTTAACAATATAAAAGGCAAATATTTCATTTGATTAAGATGGGTTACACATGAAAACATATCAACTATAATTATTATAATACAATTAATCAATCATAATTTTAAATTATGTGAAAATCATTACAAATTTATATAAAACCCATATTAATTAGTGGTAAACTCTTATATAATTTTTCATTGTGGTTAAACTATTATAGTATTATAAAAAAAAATTATAAGTGAAATACTCTCGTTACATAATTTCATATTTTCAATAACTTTATTATTACATTTAAATTTTATTATCGTATAGTTATATATTTATCTATTTTACTCATTTTATATTAAAATTTTTATATTTTTATATAAAATTTATTAATTACATTATACTAAAATTTTATATGTATAATTATATATTCATGCATCGTACGATACTAAAACCAATTTCCATATTGAATGTTTTATTTTAACAACATAAAAAGCAAGCATTTCATTTAACTAAGTGGGTCACACACTTCCATATTTTCAATAAAGGAAAGTTCCAGGTAAGAGGACCGGGATGTGGACCCACCGGTTCGAACCAGTGCGGAGTCCTGGTATAAAACTTCCCTAGTCCACCTACTCTTTACCACTTCTCTTCCAAGTTTTCTTCTTTGACCACAACTCTTTCTTTTCTTTTTTTCTCAAAATCCAAAAAAAGAAAAAAAAAAGGAGGGACCAAATCTCCTCTTTAAGGTTGTACCCTAATTCAGCTTTCCAATTCTGTATCATGTGAAATAAATTTCCAGCTTTAAAGTTCGGCTTTTGTCAGTTTTTAGCTCTTGATCAGAAAGTGTTTTTTTGTCTATAGTGAAAAAAAGGGAAAAAGAAAGATTTTTTTATCAAGAGAATGACAGTGACGGCGACGGCTGCGATGGCTGATTCATGTTTTGGCGACGATCAAGTGTGGCCACCGGGGTTTCGGTTTCACCCAACTGATGAAGAGCTGGTTCTCTATTATTTAAAGAGGAAGATCTGTAAAAGAAAGCTTAAACCTGATATCATAAGGGAAATTGATGTTTACAAGTGTGATCCTGAGGAGCTGCCTGGTAATTTTTTTTACCCTGAAGTTTTGGGTTTTTGTTTTTAGCTTGGGATTTTTTTTGGTTAATTTATGATGAGTTTTTATGGCTACATGTTTTTCATTTTGTTTGTTTGACTGATATTAGTGCTTTATCTTTCAACATGCAAATACAAGGGTATTGTTATGGTGCTTTGACTTCGTTTTTGTTTGATTAAATTTCCTTGTTCTAGGTATTGTTTTGATTTGATCTGTTGTTGATTTGTCTTTTTATTTATGGGTTTGATTTATGAGGATTCTGTGGATATTGATTCTTTTACATGCAAATCTCTGTTTTCATCTATTCATTTAAAAATATCCCTGGGTTGCGTTGACTTTGGTTTGCACAGTAATTGGACTGTTTGTTTGGTTATAGTTTTTGTTGGTTATCTATTGATTTTGATGGAAATTTGAAGTCTAGAAATTGATTGGATGACATTGGTGATGTAACTGTATTATCATGTATCATTTATTCAGGTTCCATAGTTCAATTTGAAATTTTCTGTTTTTTATGGGTTTTTATTTGAAATTTGTTTGTTTAGTCATCTAACTCATTGAAGTTTTTGTTTTCTTGAAAGCTAACTTCTTTTAACCTCTGATTGCTATGAACCATGAAAAGCTAATGTAATCAATGATGAAGTTTTCAGATATCCTAATGATTCTTAGACCAAGAATGGTTGTTTTTGTTCCCATTTGAGGCTCTTGATGCTATCTATTTTAAAGATGGTTTGTTCGTTTGAAAAAGTTAACCAGCAGATAATCTTTGCTGGTTTCTAGCTTTTGGTTTTGCTTTATTTGGTTGTTTTTTCATGTTTCTAATGAACAAAAAAACTGTCATACAGCACAATCGATACTGAATACTGGGGATAGGCAGTGGTTCTTTTTCACTCCAAGAGACAGGAAATACCCTAATGGAGCAAGGTCAAACAGGGCAACCGATTGTGGGTATTGGAAGGCAACAGGAAAGGATCGTACTGTTACCTCCAATTCTCGGACAGTTGGAGTCAAGAAAACTTTAGTTTTCTACAGAGGGCGTGCACCTAATGGTAAGCGAACTGATTGGGTGATGCATGAATATACCCTTGATGAAGAGGAACTCAAGAGATGC